AGCAGTTAAAAGTAATATTATACATAAAACCTATAACGAGTTTTAAATTTATAAAGCTGCAAATCATCAAACAACCTCAGGATCTCGAATTGAAAGTGAAAATTAAAGATATAATTTCATGTTAAATGTTCTATCACGAAATATAAACTTAAGAAAATCCTGCAAGTACTATAAACAAATAAAAATATCAATAAAAATACTTTTTATAACCTGTTAGAATAAAAAAAAATCTGTAGAAACTGTATGAGGGTAACAGTCAAATAAAATCTCTTGCACTACTGTGTAATTGTGACGGGGATTTATTATGGTATGGTCGAACTGTAATTGCCCTATACTGAATGTATAGTGTAAGTACGCTGTTTTATTGCCAAGAATGATTAATTGCGTTACTCTTTATATAGATAGATAGACAGATAGATAAAGCATTTATTTGTTTCTCCAATCACACACGTAAATTCAGTAACTAAACTAAGTACAAAGTAACATATTACGAAAAAAAAAAATATATTAATTCTTTATTAAATACTAATGTTTTATTGCGATAAATAAATATAATCTCATTATAATAATAATTTATTCCATAAAGGATATCCTTCTTTGCTATCTTATCCGACACTATTCCGATGATCTTCCGCATGTCCGTCTGAGGGAGATTAGAATGGCTCTCGATCACCTTAAAAACGCCAAGGCCCGGGCGAGAATGGAATAACAGCAAAGCTTCTGATAGCGGGTGTGAAACCGGTACTTGAAGTCCTTTAGAAGCTCTTTAATTCCATCCTCAATGGTGGCACTACTCCGGAGGCGTGGAGCAGAGGTGAGATGGTCTAGTTCTTCAAGAAAACCGACAACGCTCTCTTGAAGAATTACAGACCGATTTCCCTTCTGAGTCGCGTCTACGTACTGTTTTCGAGTCATTACGAATCGTCTCGCACGCAGAATCGACGACTTCCAGCCTACCGAACACGATTTCCGAAAAGGTTTAGCACCATAGACCACATAGATACCCTTCGGAAAATTGTACAGAAGACTGAAGAATACAGTCTGCCACTTTATCTTGTGTATGTGGAAATAGCCTTTGATTCCGTTGAAATTTGGGCGGTGCTGCAGTACCTTCAGCGGTGCCGAGTTGACTCTCGGTATATCGAAGTGCTGAAGTTTTTTATAGTAAGGCTACGATGGCTATCCGAGTACAGAACCAGAGTACGAAACCTATCCAACTGCAGTGAGGTGTAAGACAGGATGACGTTATATCCCCGAAACTCTTCACTGCTGCATTGGAAGACGTTTTTAAGCTACTAGACTGGAAAGGATACGGTATTAACATCACGCCATTGATGTTAATACCGTATCCTAGTTCATCACTCTCCTTCGATTAGCCGACGATATAGTCCTTATGGCAGAATCGCTGGAGGATCTAAGCACTATGCTCAATGACCTCAATAGTGCCTCCCAACGAATAGGTCTTAGGATGAACATGGACAAAACAAAGATCATGTTAAATGTCCATGTCACACCTATGCCGGTAGTTGTTGGGAGCACTAAGCTCGAAGTTGTTGACGAGTATGTTTACATGGGACAAATAGTACGACTAGGTAAGTCCAACTTCGACCGAGAGGTCAATCGACGGATTTAACTCGGCTGGGCAGCGTTCGGGAGATTAAGACACATTTTCTCGTCTGTTATACCTCTAAACTTGAAAACGAGATTGTACAACCAGTGCGTGTTGACATTGATGACCTATGGATCTGCGACGATGTTCTTCACTGCTGGTCATATGAGGAAGCTCAAGGTCGCTCAGTGAGCTATGGAAAGGGTTATATTTAGTGTTTCTTTGCGTGATATACTCAGAAATTATGTTATCCGCAGTAGAACCAGAGTAACCGATGAAGACCAACGGATTAATAAGCTGAAGTGGCCTAAGTGAAAGGGCCGGCCATATAGCTCGTAGAACCGACAACTGATGGGGAAGCAAGGTTCTCGAGTGGCTGTCTCATACCGGTAGGCGAAGTGTAAGACGTCCCACCAACTAGCTCATTGTCGATCTGGTTAGACATGCAGGTAGTCGGTGGATGCAGGTGGCTCAGAACCGTGCAATGTGGTATTTTTTGGTGGAGGACTATGTTCCGCAGTGGAATTGTGAAGGATGATGATGAAAATTATAATAATCGATATGGACAAAATAAACTGTTTCTATAAGCAATCTTAGGAACGAATATTATGTAGCAAATCTCCACGGACTAACGTCTGTACTATGCGAGAATGTTTCGGAAAGCCAATTTCAGTCCGGCCAAGATCTGTTTTTCTGCAACAATCGCCCATCGCTAATGAAAATGTCTTCTATGTGCCACAAGCATCCTCTTACCATCAGGTGGACTGTGTGCTCGCTTGTCACCCTTATCCTATAAAAAAATACAATTAATTATTTTTTTATTCCCAACGCATAGCAGACCATATAGTTTCGAATTTAGAGTTCATTCCAAACTGTGCCAAGATGCATTAAGATGTAGGCAAATGATAAATTATTACAAAGTTGTTTAATTAGCTAACATTAACATCTATAATGTAATGGATTTCGGCAAAGTAACACCTGATTCTATTAAATGTTGTACTAACTATGTTATACCGTACTAATGAATACTTTAGAATAAAGATGTGATAAATTCTGTTTGTTTAAGATCGAGACGATTTAGCAAACACGCGGCTATCTATTGATCATAAATCTACACAAAATAAACAAGACCCGAAATAGAAATATTACGCACCATTGCATGTTTTATCGCATTATATTGTAATTTAAAAGTTGATTATTTTAAAATAAACCATAAGGGAAATACCTATTTCTAAATGTAATTGTCATTCTAGTTTCCAGTCTGATGTTGTAAAGCATTAAATTAAAAAAAAGTACCAAAATATTGTACTAAATGTTTAGTTTATCTCTTGAAAATATATTAATATTATATTATATACACTACAATAAATATTATAGATCTACTCCGTGTGCGCAATATTCTTTAAAAAAGGGAACATGGTATTCCCTTCACAAATTTATATATGTTCATAGGGGAAATATAGAAAGAAATCTCACCAAGAAACAAACCGATATTTAAAGTTGTTAAGTAAGACTTGGTCCCTGTCACTTGACCGAATATTAATAGATTAAAATAGAAACCACCTGAATAAGTTAGAATAAGTCTGTAACCTTTCGCAGCTGAACATAGATCAGATCCTCTATCCTCAATTAAAAGAATCAAAATGCAGTTGCGTTATCACCCCTGGAATGCCTCGTTTCTAGTAAAAAGGATATCCGGTTCTTTACAGTCAGCATAGAAGCACAGCAGCATTAAGCTGCTATTTCACGCTAATGTTCTGTGAAAGCGTGGTCCTTTCCCAGTCGAACCGACCCATTCGTGGTACAACCTTGATTTAGCTGCAGCGTGGCTTTACCACGTATTATTTCCATTATGTGCATTTTATCTTAAACTTTGTTGGATGGGAAATACTAAACCTATTTTAATGCAAAATCCCCCCTATGCAGCAATTTATAGAAGAGGCATATGTTCAACAGTGGACTTTTTAGGCTGAAATGGTTGAAATGGAACAACAAAATGCTGATGAAGTTATAGTGACTAAGAGGTTAACCGTTCTTGAGAGATCTTTTCTCTTCCCAGGTGATTAACGACACAATAAATTACATTAATTATTACTAAATAAATACAAGCAACAGTGACAAACGAGCACTCAGTCCACCTGATGCTAAGTGAATGCTATGACCCGTTGATATGTTCACCCATCTACGATTAAAATCAAAATTCGGGTGTGTTGTTATTTCAGAGGACTAAGAATTTAACTGAATCTACAATTGAATACAGTTGAATGTTTTAACATGGCCTCGTTAACTGCAAAATGACGAATGTCAAAAACACATAATAAACATCTCAAATCAACTTTTACAACAATGCTGTTTCTCTCTAATTTTAATAGTTATTACTAATGAAGACAATTGAAACAAGATGTGTTGATAGTTTTTGAAAATCTGTACAACAACACGTACATAAGAGGAAATAAAGAATCAGTTTTTTTAATGATTTGCATTTACACATTTACTAGTTTCTATATTTTATTTATACAATAAGTGTGACAAATGAGAACACAGTCCACCTTATGGTAAGTGGATGTTGTGGCCCATAGACATCTACATTTATCCGTGATTAAGAATCAAAATGCAGATGTGACCCCTGAGGACTACCATCAGGTGGGCTGTGTGCTCGTTTGTCACCCTTATACTTAAAAATAATAATAAAGTAAAAAGAAGACCGACCTCCCATTTGAAAATTCCCAGATAACAATCCAAATTTGTATTATTACTACACGACAAATCTGAATAAATTATAAGCGTAAAATAGCAGCTTAACACCGCTGTGTTTCGTATTTTCGTAGTTTCGGTAGTGTAGAGAACCACAGAGCCTTTTTACTGGGAACAAGACATTCCATCGCAGTCCTCACGGGTGATAATGCATCTGCATTTTGATTCTTAATCAAGGATAGATGTAGGTGTCTATGGGCCACACCATCATTACCATCATGTGGGCTGTGGATTGTGTGCTCGTTTGTTACCCTTATTCTATAAAAAAAAAATAGGTAAAAAACGAGTATACGTACATCTAATGGTAAGTAGATGCTGTAGTCCATAGACACCAATATCTGTCATAGATTAAAATCGAAATGTAGATACGTTATCACCCCTAAAGACTAAGATAGAATGCTTAGTTGCGAGGAGAAAGGGCTAGTTAAAAAGGAAATTATAATTTAATAAAGAATTTTATTAAGCTTACTAGGCGTAGTTACACTTTGCCTTGACTTTCCCAGACAAATTATAAAAAGGAATAATTTTACAGTAATGTATGGGCTAGTCGGTTAAATCGGCCACAAAGCTTAAAATCACTGAATGGAGACTATATCGGAGTGGCATTAATGAATAACAATATTAAGATAATAATTACCATTTTGTCCTTGGGCTCCTTGGTATTAAGATTGCAGAGCGTCCCGCGCTTGTATTCGTCGCCGCACACGTAGCACACCTCCGTCATGGAGTTCTTGTCCGGCATAGACAAGTCTAAGATGTCACGGTCCGAGCTCGAGTTGGAGTTGCCCGAATACACCGACACAGTCGACCTGGAAATTACGAGAGGAATTTTTTAGTGCAAAAGGCATATTTGTAGTGTGATTTTAGTAATAGCCAGCCCGATTACCGAATCTAGCGATCATGAAAAAAGTGGTGCACAATGGGAGGAGAGTCCACTGTTACAGCTACTTCAGTAGATAATGAAGAAGGTAATTCTGTAAAGGACACTATTTAGTTTTGTTGCAAATAATTGGTCGTTTTGAATTGAAAGCGTAATATACCTACTTCTGAATCTTTCAAACAATTTACTAGGTACTGAATTCATGATATAAAAACTGTACCAAGAAATGTTACATGTAGCACCACTAACAAATAATTAGATACATACAAAGAAAAATATTTGTTTATATGTTCCTGCAGCAAGATATTTAGCCTTTATGAGTAAATTGTCAACTGTAATATTTTATAGCGACTCCACACGTTCGTCTGTATTTACCGGTATTGACTCCTATCGTGCAGTCTTCTGTACGATCGCTTAATTCATTTACATATTTGCGATCGTCATTGCGAGTATGTGGGAGCCCAATTCAATAAATGTTTCTATAAGAGTATTGTATGTATCAACATTTATTTTAAATTTTGATATTAATAGGCTGCAATAAATTAATGAACTAGGCTCTTTCAATAAACAATCGATAACGAGAACTACATATATTTACGGAATGTTAAAGGGAAATTAAAAATTATTTTCTGTAACAGAGCCATATATCTAAAAACTTTAATATACTGAACGAGTTACAGTTTTTGTAATATAACCAAGATAAGAATTGGGTTTAATGACAACTTTATAATGACAACAGTATTGGGTTTAATGACAACTTCACTCCGTATTCGTGACACTACTATAGCATGCTGATATTTTAACATTATAATATACTTAAAATAAAAGAATATTTCAAGGAAAATAAAAAACGGTCACACCATGAAAATAATAAGAGTTTAAAGTAATATATTGGGTTCTTACATATGAAATTAGTGTTTTGTCGTACTGACCACTTTGATCTGAAATATCTCCTCTTTGGTTAAGAATTCCAAATTCAAATTTATAAATTCATTTAGCTGGTACATTTGAGTTTAGAAAACAGTCATTCATTTGTTTTTTCCTGATTATTACCGCACAATGGAAAACATGAAACATCGGTATATTTACGAGTACGAGTTCTACCGTGGCACCAGTGCTGCAGAAACAGCTCGACGGATTAATGATGTGTATTGCGCTGGTGTCGCAAAGAAAAGCACGGTACGTTTTTGGTTTTTGGTCTTTGGTCAGGACCGCGCCCTCGCAAAATACCAGCGTGAAACAGCAGCTGAATGCTGTGATTCGTATGGTGAGTGCAGAGAACCGGAGACCCTTTTTACTAGACACGAGGCATTTCACTTTAGTCCTCAGGAAGCGACAACGCATCTGCATTTTGATTGTTGAGGATAAGTGTAATGTTTAGGGGTCACAGCATACACTGTGTGTTTGTTTGTCAGGTTGATTGTATAAGCATGAGGCCCTGAGTAGATCGTGTAGCGGTTACCTGACGGCGTCGAGGAAGCCGGCGGGCTCGGAGACGCCGGAGTGCTGCGAGCCCACCGAGATGACGGACGGGTCGCGCGCGCGCAGGTCCAGCACGCCCTCGTCCTCGCCCGCGCCGCCGTACCGCTGCTGCAGGGTAGGCGAACGCTGCTTTTTAATCAACACCTGCAGTAATCGTTTCTGAGAATGCAGATATCATTTTGACGTATTTATTCATCGTTTACAATGACTGCTGATTGTCAACATCAAGATATAATGGAAGGGTTGGGTACCATCGTTTTATCCAGACGAACTCTTAGAAAGAAATGGTGTTCTCAAACTCAACAACTAGTAAAACCCACTACAATAGTATTTTGATATCGGTATTATATCTCTATTACTTGGGTGTTGTAATAGTCGCCTAAGTAAAGCCAAAAAAATTGGCTTTAGACACAACATTAATACTTTGTAATAAATCGTGTTTAATCAGCAGTGGACTTTACGACCTTATAATTGTAATAGTTATTTACGTGAATAAACTTTTGTCTGTGTGTTCAACCTAAATTTTATCTTAGTACATATTTCCAAATAATTATATTGTGATTGTTTGTGCATTGCATGCATTCCTCCAAAACCCAATATACGGTGTTAATGGGAGACTTCAATGCAAAACTAGGCACAAGAGAGAACGGTGAGCTGAAAGTAGGGAAATTTGGAATAGGGCAACGGAACCCAAGGGGCCAGCAGACTTCATGGAGAAAGAGGGACTCTTTATGATGAACTCTTTCTTCCAGAAGCGGCCCCACAGGAAGTGGACCTGGTCGAGCCCCGACGGTTCCACAAAAAATGAGATTGACTTCATTATGACGACCAGACGACAACTGTTCAGTGATGTCTCCGTGATCGCGAGGGTGAAAACTGGTAGCGATCACCGAATGGTTAGAGGCACACTGAACCTAAACGTTAAGTTGGAGAGGTCTCGTCTAATGAAGTCAACGCTCCGTCCCCCTCGTGCTCTGTTTCAAAGTCCCGAAACCTTTCAGCTCGAGTTACAAAACCGTTTTCAGTGCCTAGAAGACTGCAATGAAGTGGACGATATGAATGACAAGCTCGTGGAAACTGTCCATGCGGTTGGAGCTAAGTTCTGCAAGACCCGCCGCAGAAGAACACAAAAACTCTCCGATCACACTCTTAATCTCATGGCTGTTAGACGGGAGATGAAGCTACATTCTTCAACAGACTTGACAGCATACAGGCATCTGAACAGACAGATCTCCAAATGCATGCGGCGGGACTTACGCAACTTCAATACAGCTCGTATTGAAGAAGCGATCGAGCGGAACCAAGGCTCCAAAGTCTTTGCCAGAGATCTGTCTGCCAGAAAGAGCCAACTGTCAAAGCTGAAGACAGAATGTGGCAGCATCGTTTCCGGGACACCTGAGATTTTGAGTGAGATTGAGAGGTTCTATGGGCAGCTGTACACATCATCGTTGGAGCCACACGCAAGTGTGAGTAACGATCCAAGAGTGAGTCTCATCCGACACTATTCCGAAGATATCCCGGATGTCAGTCTGAGCGAGATTAGGATGGCTCTCCAGCACCTTAAAAACGGTAAGGCCCCAGGCGAGGATGGAATTACAGCGGAGCTTCTGAAAGCGGGTGGAAGACCGGTACTCGAAGTCCTTCAGAAGCTCTTTAATTCCGTCCTCCATGGTGGCATTACACCGGAGGCGTGGAGCAGAAGTGCGGTGGTCTTGTTCTTCAAGAAAGGTGACAACGCTCTCTTGAAGAACTACAGACCGATTTCCCTTCTGAGCCGCGTCTACGTGCTGTTTTCGAGAGTCATTACGAATCGTCTCGCGCGCAGACTTGACGACTTCCAGCCTCCCGAACAAGCCGGTTTCCGAAAGGGCTTTAGCACCATAGACCACATACATACCCTTCGGCAAGTTGTACAGAAGTCCGAAGAGTACAATTTGCCACTATGTCTGGCGTATGTGGACTATGAGAAAGCCTTTGATTCCGTCGAAATTTGGGCGGTGCTGCAGTCCCTTCAGCGGTGCCAAGTTGACTGTCGGTATACCGAAGTGTTGAAGTGCTTGTACAGTAGGGCTACGATGGCTATCCGAGTACAGAACCAGAGTACGAAACCTATCCAATTGCAGAGAGGTGTAAGACAGGGTGACGTCATATCCCCGAAACTCTTCACCGCTGCATTGGAAGACGTTTTCAAGCTTCTGGACTGGAAAGGATACGGTATCAACATCAATGGCGAGTACATCACTCATCTTCGATTTGCCGACGATATAGTCCTTATGGCAGAATCGCTGGAGGACCTAAGCACTATGCTCAATGACCTCAATAGTGTTTCCCAACGGATAGGTCTTAAGATGAACATGGACAAAACTAAGATCATGTTTAATGTCCATGTCACACCTATGCCGATAGTTGTTGGGAACACTAAGCTCGAAGTTGTTGACGAGTATGTTTACCTGGGACAAATAGTCCGACTGGGTAAGTCCAACTTCGACCGAGAGGTCAATCGACGGATTCAACTCGGCTGGGCAGCGTTCGGGAAGCTACGACACATCTTCTCGTCAGACATACCTCAAAACCTTAAAACGAAATTGTACAACCAGTGCGTGTTGCCAGTGATGACTTACGGAACTGAGACGTGGTCCTTCACTGCTGGCCGTATGAGGAAGCTCAAGGTCGCTCAGCGAGCTATGGAGAGGGCTATGCTCGGAATTTCTCTGCGTGATAAACTTAGGAATGAGGATATCCGCAGTAGAACCAGAGTGACCGACATAGCCCAACGGATTAGTAAGCTGAAGTGGCAGTGGGCCGGCCATATAGCTCGAAGAACCGACAACCGATGGGGAAGAAAGGTTCTCGAGTGGCAGCCTCGTACCGGTAGGCGAAGTGTAGGGCGTCCCCCCACGAGATGGAGTGACGACCTGGTAAGACATGCAGGAAGTCGATGGATGCAGGTGGCTCAGGACCGTGTTTTGTGGCATTCTTTGGGGGAGGCCTATGTTCAGCAGTGGACTTGTGAAGGGCTGTAATGATGATGATGAAAATGATGATTGTTTGTTACTTTGTTCTGACATAGGAGGTAGTCTGTTGTCCTAAATTATTTTTGTTAGTTGTCACATTAATATACAAATATTATTAAACACCCCTAGCTTCTAGTATATCTACACTGCAAAACAGTTTTAATGGTGAAAGCACATCTTTGCAATGATTTCATTGCTAAGGGCCGCATATTCGAATCCCGCACGGGACGGAACGGAAACGGAAAAAGTATTTGTATCGTCTACAAGTATATATAAGTATATATGTCCCCACGATACAGGAGAAAATCCTAGTGTAAAGTAAAAAAAAAGAAAATGAGATTATTTGCAATATTGCATTTATTTTATTTTATACCTATGGCTTACTAATAGAACAGAAAAATTTCTGAAACTAAGTATAGTGACTAGTTACCAGTAAACACAGAATGCACTATATGTAACATATAACTTTATGCTTTAATAACATAAATAATGTCCTCCAGACCAAATTTCGGTCACGGCAGCCAGCTTCAACGGAGACTAGTCAACGACGCAGAACAGGATTATAGTGGCCAAGTGTATGCCCAAGCACAGGTGCACTCTCATAGCCCGATGGGACGGTAAACCGACACGATCGGAGAGAGATCAGGCGCCATTACGCGCTTTCCGAGACCAACTTCCTGACTCTGGGCAGCTACTGATAATTTCTTGATAGAAAAGCTAAATAACCGATTTTTTGTTTCGGGATCGAACACGAAACCTCATGATCAGAAGTCGCACTACTACAACCACTAGACCAACAAGGCAATCATTTATAACATATTTTATTATTCAAGAGTCCGCAAACATACTACTGTGAGGCAGAAGTTTTTTATCATACCTAATAGACTAATGAAGCTGATAGGAATACACGACGCTTGAACTATGGGACTATATGCTGGAGCTTTACCATGGATAAGTGTTACATCACAGTTAACAAAACAAATAAATTCATTGGTTCTACTACACTATCAAGGCTCCTATTCCATCTCGACTCGATTGTGAATTACTTACGTTGTTAAACTTGGCGTTGTGGTTCGTATCTAGGTCCTTGGGGCGTGGCGTGGTGGCGGGCGCGGCGCTGGTGGTGGTGGTGGTGGGGGGCGCGGGGGGCGGCGGCTCAGCGGCACGAGCCGCGGTTGCGCTCGCGGCGCCCGCAGCTCCCGGAGTTCCAGATTCGTCCCGACCTCCAGTCTCCGCGCCCAGGCCCAACACCTGCGCAGCGTACTCCCCTTGGAACGACATGTCGGCGCCTGTAATTTAACGCGCGTTAAATACGTGTGGCCAATCAAAAAAATGTTTATTGTGTAACAATGAATTTACATAATTAGCCGTACATAAGAGTTTTCCTTTACTATGAAGACGAGCTCAGATATTATGTTTTTAGCAGGAATGGACCGACTCGACCGGAGAAGAACCAGAGTTCCATTTTACTGGTAATGAGGCATTCCATCTTAGTCGGGGTAACAACGCATCTGCATTTTAATTCTAATTTTAGTACAAATGCAGATGTCTATGGGACACAGCATCCACTTACCGTCAGGTTGTCTGTGAGTAGGATTACCATATCTCAGGATTTGTCCTGAGATTTCAGGATTTTTGGACTCTTCTCAGCAATCGGCTGGATTTTGCAAATCTCATGAAATCTCAGGATTTTTAAAATTTTGAATACAATACAGCTTACATTTTAAAGATCTCTTTAATAAAAAGTTAAACTAAAAACAATCTTCCTTTGGTAATGATTGTACAATTAAAATCAAAACTTATTTATCCAAGTAGGTATACTTAAACAGTTTTATCATACTTAATTTGTGAAGGTACCTTTTTAAGTACTTAAGGTTTTTTTTCTTTAAGTATTGATTTATAAAATGCCCCACATGTTATACTCTTCAACTTACATTGAATTAAAAGTAGGGATCGAACTGAATACACCGTAAGTCGGTTTTTTCATTCGATCATTTAGCCCCTATAATAGAAAAAACTCTTTCTACGTTTGCATTCTGGGCTGTAATTGTAAATATATATTGATAAATACGTATTATCTCTGGTAATCGTCTAATACCTATTGGAAAATAGTTAAAGCATGATATTGAGTATTTCATTTTAAATTGAGATTGATTGATGATGATGATTTACTTGAGTATGGTTAAAACAATGGGGTGGAATTGAGTGAGTGTGCAACGCGGCTCTGATAAGAGCGGTGCCCCCCCGTGCAACGCGTGAATTAGATCCACAGTGTATAAAAAAGATAATATTATGACTTGTTTTTTAATTGTTAAGTACGTTGAAGAGATATTTCTCAAACTGTAAAAAATCTCAGGATTTTTCAATGGAAATCTGGCCTTTTCTCCGGACTTTTGATTTTTTCATCTGATAACCCTATCTGTAAGCTGCTTTGATTGTCACCACTATTCTATAAAATAGACAAACTATTAAACCAAGCATTGAGATTTGAATGCTCCATTATAACTTCACCATCACCATGTAAAAATGTCCCTGCTGATCATAGGTCTCTCCAGTTATATTAACACACTATTAACACACCTTTGAAAATGTATCATTTAAGAAAATATTTATGTCTAGCATCAAGGCCAACATAGCGAACTATAGGTAGGGTTGTTGGTAGCGGCTATATAGCTCGAAGAACCGTCAACCGTCAATGGGGAAGAAAGGTTCTCGAGTGGCAGCCTTTTACCTGTAAACGATGCAGGAAGTCGATGGATGCAGGTGGCTCAGGACCATGTTCTGTGGCATTCCTTAGGGGACTGTTCAGCAGTGGACTTAGCACTCTGTCATCTCATCTGTGTGACATATTTCCCTTGAGTCCTCCGTTTAGAACGAGCAAACATAAAACAACAATAGCTTAATCGGTTAAAGAATGATCGGTCTAATAAAGTATTGTCGTCATCCGTCCACCAACATGTCCATCAACTGTGTGTGAGATATTATAGTGCCTAATGCCTGCTCCCGCCCGATGTAAAGCATTTGCGATGAAAACCAAATACAACACAGTATGATTTAGTTGAATTTGTCCGTCTGAAGGTTCTAAATAAATCTACATAATTTAAATTTTCAGGATTTGTCAGTTTTGAAATTTCTGAAAATGTTTTCAAACCTACCATTTTAAGTCACGACAACCGTTTTATGTAGAGATGATATTATACGTATTAATCAATTCATCACCGAAAATTTCTACTAATTGAGGGACTTAATAATAATTTCTTTTGACCGTAAGCTGCTATTTTACGCTGGAAATCTGTGAGGGCGTAGACCTACCCCGACCGAACCACCCCATTCGTGCTACAACTAATATAGCTGCAGCGTAGCTCTACCACGAGAATTTATGGACGAACTTCGCAATAATATAACTGCATATATAAATTTCTTTAACCAAAAAATATGTCATGATTGTAACCATAACTCGCAACTAATTGGACATTAATAAGCGAGTATAAATCAAAATGATCAGCAATTACAGCGAGCCAATCGAATCGTGTGACACAGATGAGGTGAAACAAGACAATCGCCAGTAAAAACGAGGGCCGTTTTCCTCGAATCGGGCTCCCGCAACTTGCGACAATGTCTCGTTCCATTGCCAGTCGTGTAATTGCCGCTTGTTTATACTGTCGGCTGAACAGGAGAAGGAAACATCAGAAATTTATTTATCACTCTCATTAATGGCCACGGCGGTGATGATAGAAATGCAATGGCAAAAATTGTAGCAAAAATAATGAAGTAAATACAGATATGTCTATCATCATCATCATCATTACAACCTTTCATAAATCCACTGCTGAACATAGGCCTCCCCCAAGGAATGCCACAAAGCACGGTCCTGAGACACCTGCATCCATCGACTTCTTACATGTCTTACCAGGTCGTCACTCCATCTCGTGGGGGGTCGCCCTACACTTCGCCTACCGGTACGAGGCTGTCACTCAAGAACCTTTCTTCCCCATCGGTTGTCGGTTCTTCGAGCTATATATGGCTGGCCCACTGCCACTTCAGCTTACTAATCCGTTGGGCTATGTCGGTTACTCTGGTTCTACTGCGGATATACTCATTTCTAAGATTATCACGCAGAGAAACCCCAAGCATAGCCCTCTCCATAGCTCGCTGAGCGACCTTGAGCTTCTTCATACGAATATGTCTATACTCTATATAAACTAAGAAATCGGAAAATTATCGTTAACAATTAATTACTTTGCAAATCAAAAGATCGTACAAAAATCATAGTAAAAATAATTGAAAATTAAAAATTAAAAATATAATAGATTGGTCAGACGTTGATCAAATTTATATGGGACCACATGAAAATCACCATCTTTTAGATAAAAAAAAGAATTGTTGAAAACAATTCAACCAAAAAAAAAAATAAGGTAACGCACACAAAAAAAGAGAAAAAAAATAATTGAGTACCGTCTCCTTTTTGAAGTCAGTAGAAAATGCATTCAGTGTCAAGTTTTGTTTATTAACTTTAATTATAATTCTTGTGGTTTTATTTCACTTTTTACGCTACCGTTACCGTTACAGCCTATTAAAGTCACACATAGGCCTCCCCCATAGATTGTCACATAGGGAGAATATTCGCCATAGCTGCCCGACTTTTGCTTGGTAAGCGGGTTGGCAACCGCAGTTTTTTATTGTTTATCGTTATTAGGACGCCGCTGCTGCCCCTCTCCGGATTTGTTTCCCTCTGTCGCCTCTTACGACACCCCACGGACTGATTAGCAACTGCAGTTTTTTTTTTATTATTTTGATTTGTTACCATGCTGTTGCCCATTGCTTGTTTCATTTCCCTGTGTCTCCTCAATTATGACACCCACGGAATGCCGCCACTACACAAACCATTTCAATTTGTTAACAGAAAGGATTTTCAAAGAGGTACAAAAACACCAAAATCTATATATAACAAAACGGATGAAATGATTTAATAAAAATCTTTACTCCTTCGACATAAGATTTTTTTTGTCAATCTTTATTTATTCTTAGTAGACCAGTAACAGTAAATATGTTTTAAGTTTATTTACGTTTTAAACTGCTAGATACGAATATATTTATTTTTCATTTCAATAAGTACTGTTTTTACTGACCAAATTTTGTTAATTAAATGTATTTACAATTAACTATTATCGTTTTGGTACGTAAGAGTTTAAAAACTGATAAAAACAACGCTTATCGCTTAGCTGCCGATAAGGTGTTGCTAAAGCGGAATTATCTAGTTTGGTCTAGTATTAGCTCTAGATATCATAGTGTAACGTGGCGAATATTTGTTTTTACTGACTGATTACGGTTACGGGTAGGGTTGCTACCAAACTCTACGTTTTACTTAAGAATCTATGTATTAATACACGAACAGAAAACTTTGTACCCACTTTGATGCATATTACGCGCATACACAAAAATAAATAAAAATAAAACAATACTGTTAACGTTCATAGTACCAATGTCAGACATATAAAGCGTCTCCCACACAAAAGCGGTCGCAGTGGCGGCCTGAAAGCCTGAAACTCCATTCGCTGTGGTGCCTGTGCTACGACCGGACGTCAGTCAACATGGTCAACCGTTAAAAAAAACTGCTAAAAGACATCGTCATCTTTTTATTCTTATTATATTCGTCAATATTATCCCATATTTTGTTTTTAATCCTTATGCTTTTGTAATCAAGGTGTGAAGTATCATAAAGTACTGGATAATTTTGCACTGTTTCTATTATAATCTCCGATTTAGCGCCATTTTGCACGCGGTACACGCGGTCTGTTGTAAAAATTTCTAAAACTTATTACTATGGTGTCATTGTACACTTATATACAAAGTACAGTACAAAGCAATACAGTAGTTTTATGACTTTGTCTATGAGTGATATAAAACTAAAAAAATAAATAACAGCCATAGTACAACATAAATCTGTATCTATAAATGACAGAATATCGCCATTTTGCATGCGTTGCGTGTTTATATTGTACCAGTGAACAAAATTAATTTGGAACAATATTATGTGGAAAAAATAAACAGATTTGGTGCAGTTAAACGATCATGTTACATCTAAATTAATTTTATCCAAACACTGTTCCCAAGACAAGGTTTTTCATCTTTTATACGTATATCTAAAGAGAATTATATGTTATGTTGAAAAGACTGCTATACAGCGTAAGTAATAAAAATATCCTATTATAGAACTGATAAAATCTAATGGTTGCATTATATAATCCATAACATACATAGTACAGCTACTAAGACTATAAAATTCTCG